ACACCACCAGTTCATTCACTAGGTGATCAAGTCAAAGTCGAGTTTAAAGTACAACCAGATTGGTATTACAATGGTACACGATGTGCTAAATTCAATACGATTGTTTTCGATCGAGAAACTTGGCAAAAACCACAACAAGTGGATATGTCTTTTATTGATTATGGTTGTTGTAGCTATGCAGTTACTGCAACTGGTGGTGGATATGAATGGCAGTATGCAAATTCAACATTTGTTGTTTATGCATGTGATGGACAGGCTGGATATGGCTGCAAAGGCAAAGAACCGTGCGGAGCATGAAAACGCTCAAAAATAAGAAGAATCGTACATGATATATGTGTGCAATAAAAATTGTTTTTACTTTATTCAAATCAAATAAAGATCCTTCTTGATAATAATTATTAAATTGGTAAAATTCATATGCGCAGATTTTATCAATCCAGGAGAACTTTGAAGATTATCTAGAGTTGAAAGCGGAATGGTTGTATTAACTGATCTCATAGAAATGTTTAGATAGCTAAAATCTTAATGCGCTCTACGGGGTGAAAAATTTTTACCCATCTTGCCCAGTACTGTCGATGAAGCAACCATAATGACATATTGTCTCATAAAAATCAGAAATCGAGTCAAATATGCAGTATATCTTCATTCTCCTTTACCTGCTCAAACGAATCAAACCAAGAGAGGAAAAGTTGAAAACTGACTTTTCTGATTTTCTTGACTTTTTCCAGTGAAATTTGGCTTAAAGTGAAAAAGTCAGCTTTTCCCCCCTTGCAATCTTCTTAGATTTTTCATTGACCAGATAAAATAAAACCAAAATCTTTTCATAGTTATTATCTCATAGTCATCTCTTCTACCATCACCATGAATATAGTAAAAATAATTATTTTTACGCAGTTAATAAAAAACGATTAAATCTATGTCCTTCAAATCGCTACAAAATTGACGATTAATCGTGATTCATCGCAACGATAATTGTGAGCTGAATCACGATAAAATCGCCGATTTTTGTCCTCCCTTATATCGATAATCTATGGAATTTTATCCATGTAAATTTCATTTTCACTGTTTTGTGGTCAAGTAAAGTGAACTTGAAACGTAAACTCGAAATTTCAAGCTCACTTTACCCTGCATTTTTGACCAATGAAATGCAAGTCCATAGTTTACAACGTTCCAAAAAAGCTGACTAAATCTTTCAACTCATCGTAAACAATCTTCTTCAAATCAACGTCACACTTTCATTCAATCTGCAGTCAAAGGGTATGGGTGTGGGAGTTAGATTGAAGAGAAGAATTACACACACACACATACACACCCGCACCCCAGAAATGATCCAATTTGCTATTCAAACACAAAATTTATTATAATTTAAGAAGAATATAGAATATTTGAAAACATAATTAGAGAAGCAATAATGAATACAAATAATTAATGAAATTGTCAAACAGAGAAGATGATACAACTTAAATGTTCAGTCTCTCATACATAACTATTAGTTAATATTTGCCCACCACACCATCGAATCATTTGTTCAATAGTTAACATAATTTCTAACAT